CTTTGTCTCTTAACCCATAAACCCTTGAAACCAATTGAGTTGATTGATCTTGCATGTTTTTGGTTCATTGTTTTTACTTAATGAATGTTAAAGGGATTTGCTGATTTGAATGCATTGTTTGAGTGACTGTGAAGTGGGATTGATGTTGATAAGCATGGTTAAATCTTAATGAATATCTCTCACCTTGTTGCATTTTAAAATCTCTAAGTTGGACATTTAGCAAATCGTTTTTGAGGACATGTTTTTAAATGTTGAATCAGCTTGTTTTCAAACCTCATCTCTTCCTTGTTCTATTTGTTTGCTTGAGGGCAAGCAAAGTTCAAGTTTGGGGGTGTTGATGTACTTGCATTTTATATAGTTTTAGCACATCTTTTATGCATCTTTTGCATAGTTTTAGCATCCATTTGTATCATATCTTGTTCCTTTTCTCTTCTTATGCATTCATGTTAGTTTTAGGTTGTATTTGCATACATATGCATTTTTGGCCCTTTGAAATAGGTCTTTTGGAGCATTCTGGAGCATATGGGGCATAAGGAGCATGGAGGGACTTGGCACATGGAAGCAGCTCAACTGGGCACGCAAGGGAAGAAGGGAGAAGCCATCTTGAAGACCAGCTCGACCGTCTACTCGACCAACCGGTCGAGTTCCTCAACTCGACCGGCCAAGCTTCAACTCGATCGAGCTGGGAAGTCAAAGTCAAACCCGAAAAATGTTGCTTCCCCCTTGACTTCCCTTTGACCCTAAACCTAATCCTCTTTGTATTTAAGGGCTCTTAGCCACGAAAAAACCACCAAGCTTTTACATTATTGTTGTTTTAGTTTCTTTTATTTTATTGAACTTTTACTTTTTAGCAACTCTAATCCAATCTTTGTGTTCTTGAAGCTCTTGCTTCTTGAATCTTAGATCCTGGATTATTTGCTTTATATTTGCACTTGCTTATTTCAATAATAGCGCTTATCTTGCTAAAGCTGATCAGAGAATTGGAATCCGTATTGAGGTCTCTGACACTGGAAATGACCAGTTTCAGCATTTGGTAGAGCAGATTCTAGCTTGTGGAGTTAGACACGAGCTGCTTCCTGAAGTAGACAAACAGAGACATCATCTCCCTTCAAGCAAAGTTTTAAACAGAAAAACAAAGGCAGTGTTCGTCTCATCTTCTTCTTCTTCTTCTTCAGGGTATTTTGAGAGCATCAGGGACGTATATTGGGAAAACCCGGCAGTGAGGGGAGAGATAATCAGTGTTTACATTTATGTTTAGTGAGTAGTTACCCATTAGGGTTTGAGATGGGATAGATTAGAGGGTTCATATGCTTAATATTTCTAGCTTATGGTCTTAATCTAGATTCTCTCTCTTTTGGTTAGATCTTAAGGCTACATGACCACTACCCCTGGCTTGTAAGTCCTTAGGCGACTCCCCACACGAAAGTGATGGCATTCGCTGGAAAAGATCCACTAAGAGCTCCAATATCTCTTGCTCTAGACAATAGAGGTCTAAGGGGTTGGATGGATTAGTTTGGGCAATGATCCTATAGCCTCCAAGGTTTGATTCTCACTGGCTAACCCCCTGTTTCTGAGATCATTCCTTGGTTGATAGCCTCCACCTTGGGAAAGGGTTGGCTAGGCATTGAGAAGCCCAATATCAAGAGAAGCCTTGATACAAGGAGTTTTAAGAGCTAGATTGATTAAGTGTAGATTCCTTTGATTGCAAAACCCTGTCTTGAACCCTAATTCTCTCTTTATCTTGTTAAAGTCGTCACCTTTACTGCTTTTCTCGCTAACTCGACCCTCAAGATCGAGCTGGTACTCTGTTCCTACTCGACTCGAGTCCTGGTCGAGCTACTTGTTTACTGCTTTGTTTACTTTATTGCACTGCATTCATTTCTTAGGTTGTTAGTGTTACCAAATCTATTACTGCTTGCTTGACTTCCTGGTTGTTTCATATTCTCAAAGAGTGACAAGTTTCCCATTTTGGATTGATAACCTCTTATACTACATTGACTATGATGGTTAAGAGGAATTGATTGATTGTGATTGCACCATACCATATCATCTTTATTCACCCCTGTTTGCATTCCACCTCATATTCATATCACTTCACCCACACACAAATCCTATCATCACCTATTCCTATCCCTGATTCTGCAAGTGCACAGGTCAGGTGTAGTAACGGGTTATCGAACACAAGGAGCAGATAAGTGCACTACAAGCTATGCAAGTCTAACTTAGCTAGGACAAAAGGATGAATTGGGGTTTTGGTATGCAAAAGAACTAAACTAAAAGAAAGCAATATGAAAGCGGTGTAAGTTCAATGTGGGAAAGACGCTAGGCAATAGGTAATTCGCAGAGATTCATATATGATAAGATTGATGATTGATTTATATCTATTTAGGGATATGGGATGTAAGATCCGTCTAGAACACCAAACACGAATTGTAAAACCATTCCACTGTCGAGGCTCCGGTTCCTTTGTTAATCTACCTAGTCGCTAAACTTTTGGTATGTCCCTAGGTGATTAAATCAAGCATTAGATCGAGCAAGTTCGGATACAGTTCACTAGGTTAAGTAAATCAACTGTCGCAGTCTAAGAAACCTAGCTTGTCAAAGAATATGTCCGGCGAATGATACAACACTTTCGAGGCTCAAATCAACCTAAGATCGAATCACTAGATGTACGGTAAAGTGATTAGCATTAATTAAGTGTGCAAAACGAGACAAAGACTCTAATGATATCCCTAGTTAATTCATCAAATCATAATCAACACATGAACTCTTTGAAACCCTAAAACCTAACTAGAAATCTACTCAAACATGGTGCAAGTAAACAAGCATAGATCTGAGATAGAAATCATATTAATATAAAGAGAAAAGGGTTCAGAAAGCTTCTCTATGTCGAGATACAAAGAAGGGATCTTCTCCCTAAGGAAAACAATGAGAAAGAAGTAAAACAATGGAAGATCCCTCTAAGGGGAGCTCCCTAGTGCGCCTCTCTCTTGTAGCTCTTCTCTTGTGACTCTCTATGCGGCTCTCTCTTCTAAAGAGGCTAAAAAAGAGTATTTATAGTGCCCTAGGTCTTCACAAGTCGGTTTAGGTTAATTGGGCTGAGAATTGTCAAAACTGCATAAGTGGGCTTCTTGTTCGCGGAGATCGGGTCGACGCGGTGTTCCCGGGTCGCACGGTCGGTCGGCCGTGATGTGATGTCTCGGTCGATCGTGGTCCATTGCCTCCCGGGTCGGATCCGTCCTGGAGAAGGCCGAGCGAAGCCAATTCCCTTCCTGTCCGGCCGAGTGCGTTCGGCCGGCTGTGGACCAGTCTTCAGTACAAACGTGATATCTCCTAAATGGCTTATCCAAATTGCATACTTCCAACGGCATTGGAACAATAACTCATCTGGATATCTTGGTGTCAGTTTCATTGAAATCCATTGAGTTTAAGGGTCCAAGCCGCGGCTGCCCGTTTGATGTACTGATGCAGTCCGATTAAAGCTCCTCGTATATGTCTCAGGGAAATAGAGATATCTCCCAATCTACTCGGTCAAATTGATTGATTCCAGTTGCGTTGCAAAGCTAACTCACGTATGCATCACTCGAACTGGATTTGATGAAGTCCATTGAGTAGATTGTTTTTAAGGCCCTTCTTAAGTTGATGCTACGTCTTGGAGTGGTCTTGAAGTCCAAATCCTGTGTTTTGCTCCAAAATGCATCTTTTGACCTGTTTAGACTCTAAGTACTATAAATCCATAAAAACTACCTTTTTAGATCAGAAAGCCATTAAAAACCTTATGAAAAGCATAGTAAAACCATATAAAAAGCATGTAAAATAGAGGTATATCACTTTCTCCTTGAATCCTTCTAGATTCTCATCAATAAGCTCCTCTGGGAATAGAAGCTTCATGTTGCGGCCAGACCTAGGCTTCCTACCTTCTTTCTTGGCTTGGCCTCATCTTCAATCTTGGTTGATCCCTTGGGCGGTTTTGGTGTAGGGGCCTTAGTCTTACTCCTTGCTTGTTTGGCAAGCTGCTTGGGCTTAGGAATGGGATCTTCCTTGATTGTTTCTTCAGTTTCTCCTCTTGGGGTGGCTTCAAAGTAACTTTCTCCTCTTGGACCATGTCAACAAAAGAGTTCTTTGTTGAACACATAGGGAAGAACATACCCTTGTTCACCTTGTTGAAAGAGATTCTTTGATTGGGGAAATCAAATATGGCACCCACAGTAGACAGGAAAGGGGTTCCAAATATGAGAGGTCTATGGCTACTCTCTCTCATTTCCACAATCTGGAAATCAGTAGGGATAGAGCAATTTCCAATCTGCACCATCACATTAGGCACAAAGCCATAGGGGTTTGTGAGAATGAATCAGCATAGTTGATGGAGATGGATGATGGCTCTATCTTGGTGAGGCCTATCTTGTCAGCTATCCTCTTAGACATGATGTTCACATTGGCTCCTGTGTCACACAAAGATTGCTCAAGAATGTTACCTTTGATGATACAAGGCACATCAAACTTTCCTGAGTTATCTGTCTTGGGGATAATCTTTGGGAAGAGTCTTCTCTTTCTAGCTCGATTGGACTCTCTCTCTGGGTAATTCTCTTCAGGCCAAATCATGCAATCAACAGTAGGTTTTGAAAGCATCCATTCTGGAACTTGGTCTTCAAATCTTTCTTCTATGGCGGCTGAGTTGCAAAAGGACTTCTTGGATTCAGCTTCCTGTCTCTTAACAGCTTCCATAGTTTGTGTGACTTGAGTCTCTAGTTTCTTCACATGAGTGGCAACAGCATCATACTTGGTGTTGAGATTGCTGAACAAAGTGTCCATCTTCTCATACATCTCTTTAGTGTTTCTCTTCTGGCCATCCATGATCTGTTGGAGGATTCCTTCAAATCTCCCACCTTGTTGGTTTGGAGGAGCTTGATTTGGTGAAGAAGCATATGGCTCCTTGGTGGATATGATGATCTCTGCTCATATCCTTGCCTTGGCTGAAATTGACTTCCTTGAGATTGGTAAGGAGGTCTTTGTTGTTGTGGATACCTTGGAGGATACACTTGGTCTTGAGGATTCTCCACATTGGGGTTTCTATAAGACATGTTGTGTGATACCCCGTATCAAGACCTAAAACATCCCAAAGGCCGGGATGGGAAGATCAACACTCTGGGATTGGAAGACAAAGACGTGGGATCTAAACCAGAGATCACAACGAAGACTTGGATCAAGACAGGATCAAGAACGATCGAGCAGAACTGAAGATACAACAACTATGTGGAAGCTCAGAAACATGGAAATGAGAGAAGGATCAAAATAGGAGATTTTAATTCTCAAGCACGACGGGGACGAAACTCCAGACAGGGAAACGTACGAAACCCTCTGGACGAGGAAACGTACATTTGGAGCAATCTTGTTCTAAGCCAACCAAGTGGTGACACCAGCTACTTGGAGAAGATAAGGATGATCATAACCAATATGGAGAAGACATGCAGCTACTCAGATGGAGCCAAAACCATTCAGCCAATCATGTAGCAACATCCAGCTACCGAATGAAGACGAAGCAAGCCTAAGCCAATTGGGCAACGACACCAGCTGCTAAAGAGGAGAGAGGGCGTGGATAAGCTCCAAGAAGATCCTAATGCTATCAGGGAGAGACACCCAGCTGCTCATGAGAGACAAGAATCGTCCAAACCAATCAGACGAGACATTAAGGTGATAAATGGAGACGAAATAGACTTGGACGAATCAGGATGCAACACCAACCACTGAGAGAGAGGAGAAGCTTCAGGAGTGGATGAGAAGCAAGTGGAGAGATGCAGAAACGGATTGGATCAAGAGCTGACCAATCAACAGAAGCACACAGCATCTTAATGGATAAGATGAGTTATATCCAATCGCACGACCACACCACATGCTTGGGGGAAGTCGGCTCATTGGATGAGCATTGAGAGGGGATAGGAATGACGTGTGTCATGTCCTGAGACGCCCTAGAGGCCACCAATCAAAGCTACCTAGCCTAGACCGCCTGGATGTCGCGTTCTGAGGCAGTGTAGGTCGCCACCAAGCAAAGCTATGCTAGGCCTAGGTCTCCATGTGTCTGCGCATGACTGGAGACGTCCCAAGAAGCCAGGCAGCCTCCTGAACTCCTATAAATACGCTCCTCCAGCCCCAAGTCCAAACCATTCCATTCCCAAAGCTAGAGAGCACCTGAAAAGTGATTAGAGAGTAATTAAGAAAGTTTTCTTAATTAAGTGAGGTTAGTGGAAGATTAGAGTAGGTCAAGATCAAAGCTTAAGGAAAGCTAGGAGGATCTTGAAGTCTTCTTAAAGTGGTGAGTCTTGGTGTTATAGTTTTAGTATTTTGGATCTTTGTTTGTGTATGCAGGTTGTATGAACACCAAAGCATAGGAGATGCTTTCTGTTCATATTGGTTATTGGTTCTGTAGTATAACTCTCTAAACAATAAGGTTTAGTAAAAATTGTGGAGAGTTATGCTGCAGAAATTTATATAATGTGTTGTGAGGTTGTGATGGATAATCTTCTAGGAGAGAAGTTATGCCGTCAGATCTCTTGTGTGTTTATATGCAGGTTTGCATTGTTGTGAGGTTGTGATGGGTAATCTTCTAGGGAGAGAAGTTATGCCGTCAGATCTCTTGTGTTGTGAGGTTGTGTCGGGTAACCTTCGGGGAAGGTTAGGCCGCCAGATCTCTTTTGTGTGTGAGGTTGTGTTGGGTAACCTTCGGGGAAGGATATGCCAACAGATCTCTTTTCTGTGTAAGATTGTGATGGGTAACCTTCGGGGAAGGTTATGCCATCAGATCTTGTTAGTGTAGATGCATATCTATACATTAGGTGATGTGAGATTGTGGATGGCTATGCCGCCAAATCTCATAGATGCATCGGTTGTGGGGTTATAGCATGGCTATGCCGCTAAACCTCGAGTGCATACTAACATGGTGGTGCGTAAGGCCCATATGTTGAGTATGACTCCGATGTGGAAAGATCACGGACGGCTGAGCCGCCAGATCTTTCGAGGTTCGTGTGGGTACTCTTCCGAGGCAAGGGAAGCTCTGCCGCAGAACCGGTGGTATGAGGCATAGTGGTGCGTAAAGGCCCATATGCTAAGTACTGAGAACATGTGGCGTGTCTAACCACATGTTGTCTAGGAAGGTGTAGTCAAGCGCATTCTCGCACGTCAGAGCCCAACCGGATTGGCAGCGTGGAGGCTGTGCATGAAGGGAGGAAGACTCGGAGGATAACCTGGTCAGCTGCCTTGGCCGAGTATGGTACCATATGACGATATGGGATCCAACCAGACATTGGCATGGTGCGCCAGTAAGGCCAATAGATGGAAGGATGAACCGGGTACCGCGATGGACTGTAGTGCCCGGGTGAAGGCGTTCATCTAGTTTCTGTGTGATTCCGGATGAGCGTGAACCTTCACAGGCGTGGGCAGAGAATGTGGCTAATGCACCTAGGCGCCTTATTGCATATAGAAAACAAGTATTAGATACTTGTCTAGGTTTGCATGGGCATTGCATATAGATTGCTTGTTTGTATGTTGTTATAGTCTTGGATTGATCGTACCTGTTCTTGTTTGATTGGGGTACGGTTAGTCTTAAGGCTATAGCATCATTATTGTGTGTGATTGCATATGTTGTGTTGTGCTAACCTCAATGCAGGTGAGGCGGGGTTAGCCCGCGGCGTTTGTGTTTGGAGTTTAGGGAATCCCCCTTGTATAGAGGTCCTAGACTCACTGAGTAATATTAGATTACTCATTCCTTTTGTTTAATGTTTTCAGGTGACCGTAGAGGTGTGAAGTAGAGCGGACCGCTGCAGGCAGTAGGCGCCAGAATAGTTTTGTGGTATGTTTTTGTAAAATTATGGTTTGTTGTTTGGTTTGGAACTAAGGATCGATCCGCATGTTTTTAAGTCGGATTTTGTAAGCACTCTGATATTTTAATAAAGGAAAGTTTTATGTAAAGACCTTATGTTCCAATGATATTAGCTTGGTCCGGGCTAACACAACTCCTGACCGAAGTACGGGTTGGCAAGCCTTAGGCTTTGGTCAAGAGGGTCGAGTTCGTGGAACGGGCTGACCTGGGCTCTGATTTGTTCTTAGTCTGGGATGGCCTATTCGGCGAACATCGACATTTTGTGGCGCTTCTCGGAACGTCTGTGCCTAGGACGGTTCGGGGGTGTTACAAATGGTGGTATCAGAGCATGGTTCATGATCATGCTCGGGAACAAGGATTTTAAAACGTTTTATCGAGTCAAAAAGGAGTCGCAAAAACTACCTTAGGTAATCTGGTCTGTCTGCAGCATATAGGTAGAATGTTTAGGTTGTGGTTAAGCATTGCTTGATGTTGCTTATAATTTCTGATTGATCATGCATGTTCTTGTTTGATTGTTGCATGGTCAGTATAGAGGTTATGGTAACATTGTGCAATGTGATAAGCCATGTTTGAGGTGTCTATGGGTGTTGATCATCCATAGAATAGATGGATGCGGATCATCCATGGGATAGATTGTGTTGAATAGGAACCCTAATGTTTGCTTTGTGGTGATAGCTTGAAGTCATGAGTGACTGGTTTGTGGATGATGAGGGGTCGTGGTTTAGTACTGGGCAAGAGTGGACAGTGGAGTCTGGATCGTCGAGTTCAGAACCGTCGAGCAATTCGGAGCACTGGATCGTAGTGACGGACTTGGAACAGCAGACACTAACAGATCATGATAGCAGCAGTGATTGGGACGAGGACGTATATCTTATGCCGAGAGACAACGTGCAGCCCAGCACAACGGTGAATGAGTATGGCGAACACATGACTTGGCCAGTACATTACCCTGAGGAGGAGAGAGTAGTGCCATCTACCCAAATCATAGAGATCAGTTCAGGCGAGACTACACCAAACTCTTGGGATAGAGATAGTCCACCAAGTGTTCTACCGCATATACCAATGCCGCATGTATTTGCACCGGGAGGTGGAGTATACCCGTACATGCCAACGGAGGAGAATCCAACGGACTACGTGTACCCGTTCATTACCACTGGCGTAGAAAGCAATGATCCAGCCGTTGCAGTTCAAGTCAATAGTGAAGTCTTCACAAACCAACCTGAAGAACCGGATACGCCGGAACCAACATGGGAGGATTATCTTGGACACCAGAACGTATCACCCACGTACTGGACAAGGAAACTCAACGAGATCGCTGGATACACATCATCAATGGAGCATGGAGAAGGAAGCATACCTCAAGATCAAGGAGAAGCTAATGCAATGTGGTGTACAATGTATGGAGAACAAGATGCACCAAACTCGGTGGCAGGCAATGAATATCAAATACCGGATCTTAACCAAACCACGGAGGAAGGTACCGGAGAGAATGAATGGCCAAAGATGATGAAGGTCTTAACCTAGCAAGAAGGTGGGATGAGATAATCGCCACAGAATTGGAGAATCTCAGAACAGAGGGTAATGGCCAAGAGCAAACTGTGTCACGCCAAAGGGGAAGGCCTCCCAGAAGACTCGCGAGGATGAGAGTCCCAGCACCGTCTCAAGTCACGCTACCATGCGATCAATGTGGAAGGACGGGACATCATAGCCGAGCATGTCCCAATGTGCGAGCTAGATCAAGGATGAATGAAAGGCAGAACATTTGCCTTACTTGTGGAGAGAAAGGACACTTCTCAGCAGACTGTCCAAGGAACTGCCCCAGTACTAGTCAACCCACCCGCTCAACCACAAGGAGAGAGAGGCGACCAGGGAGTGGAAGCCGTAGAATGTAAGATAGAGTCTAGGAACCCTAAACCACATGCCGAGAAAAGGTATTTTTCGGGTTCTAACTCAATCTTTGAATGGTTTATTTTCTTGCTTGCTTGGTATAGTAAGTAGGATTGTTTGGTGGTTTAAGTTGAGTTTGGTAGAGACATCGTTTAGGAAACCCATGTTTTGGGAAACGATGTGGTGAAAGGAGATTCCGATGTTTCTATTTCCAGTGGAAATGAAACTAGAGCGGATATCCTTGGAACCAAGTGGTTCTGGTAAAGTAGTTTTGGGTATTAGCACATCGAGTGGAACCCTTAAAGGGAAGCGATGTGTTAATAGAAGGAAATTCCGTGAATGCTGTTTCCAAGAGGGAAATAAAGCTAGGACGGAAATCCTTGAGTAAGAGGTTAGGTGGTTAGCGAAGTTAGGAGAACCTCGCTAGAGTGGTCAGACCGGGATCAAGACCAACAGGGAAGTGTTGGTTAAGGTACGGTTTTGACATTAGATAACCCATAGTTAAAGCCGGGATGGATGGTTATGGGAATGGAGATTTGAGCAAGGAGGATCAGAGGAGATCAGTGGAAGAGGAGTCTGCAAGGGGACAACGTGAAGACAAAGTAAGAGGAGTCTGCAAGGAGCAACGTGAAGACAGAGTAAGAGGAGGCAAGGCATCTTCAAAGTGGAGAGAGACACCGGAACAATGGAACGTTCCTACTCTCTACAACTGGAATTCGGGGACGAATTCTATTAAGGGGGGGAGAATGTGATACCCCGTATCAAGACCTAAAACATCCCAAAGGCCGGGATGGGAAGATCAACACTCTGGGATTGGAAGACAAAGACGTGGGATCTAATCCAGAGATCACAACGAAGACTTGGATCAAGACAGGATCAAGAACGATCGAGCAGAACTGAAGATACAACAAGATTGTCCAGGTGGGACGATCATTGTACGAACATGGGAAGAGACGACGAAATATCAAAGTTCTCCAAATCAAGAAGAGAAGAGTTTGGACGACATAAGAGACCATTCTAAGAAGTTTGGTCGAAGCAGAATGCAAATCGGACGAGCAGATTGAGAGATGGGACGGACGCCCAAGATCTATCCCGCAACGACTGCAAGAAACGTAAATGTTCGGGATGGAGGTATTCCGCACATTTCCAAGCAACTATGTGGAAGCTCAGAAACATGGAAATGAGAGAAGGATTAAAATAGGAGATTTTAATTCTCAAGCACGACGGGGACGAAACCCTCCAGACAGGGAAACGTACGAAACCCTCTGGACGAGGAAACGTACATTTGGAGCAATCTTGTTCTAAGCCAATCAAGTGGTGACACCAGCTACTTGGAGAAGATAAGGATGATCATAACCAATATGGAGAAGACATGCAGCTACTCAGATGGAGCCAAAACCATTCAGCCAATCATGTAGCAACATCCAGCTACCGAATGAAGACGAAGCAAGCCTAAGCCAATTGGGCAACGACACCAGCTGCTAAAGAGGAGAGAGGGCGTGGATAAGCTCCAAGAATACCTAATCTATCAGGAGAGACACCCAGCTGCTCATGAGACAAGAATCGTCCAAACCAATCAGGGAGACATTGAGAGCTCAATGGGACGAAACTGACTTGGACGAATCAGGATGCAACACCAACCTACTGGGAGAGAGTATAAGCTTCAGGAGTGGATGAGAAGCAAGTGGAGAGATGCAGAAACGGATTGGATCAAGAGCTGACCAATCAAATGAAGCACACAGCAGCTTAAGGAGATAAGATGAGTTATATCCAATCGCACGACCACACCACATGCTTGGGGGA